AGGACCTGGGGGTAAGGGAAGATCTCCTAAGACCAGTAAGTAAATAAGTGAATAAAGCACTCACCACAAACGTACAGATCTATCAATTCCCCAGCATTACAGTTAAGAACTGATCGTGACAGCAGATGAGAGTGAAGAGGTCAGTCACAAACTAGGAAAAGACACTGACTGTATACATGTAACTGACAAAAGACTAGAATCCAGAGTATATGGAAACTGCATGTCAAGCTGCAAGCGAACTGCAGAGAAAAATACAAAAGATGTGAGCAGGCAGAACCCAGAGAGGAAACCCAAAGCCGCCATCATTAGCAACCCAGGAAACGCAAACGGCAACCACAGTGAGCTTGTTACACCTGCCGCTGGGCACAGGCTTCCAGGGCTGATGCTACCAAACACGAAGAGCAGTGAGGAGGTTCAGATACCAGCGTGAGTGTGAACTAATGCAACCACTTTCAAAACCAGTTTGGCATCACCTTGGTAAAGCCAACATACACCTGGTAAAGAAAACATACCACACTACGGCCCAAATTCCACTTACGTGCATATCCAGATAAACCCTTGCATATACATCAGGAGGGATGCAGAAATATACTTAGCGGCAGTGGTTTTTTATTTTATTTTTATTTTTGAGAGAGAGAGAGAGAGAGAGAGAGAGAGAGCCTGAGCAGGGGAGGGACAGAGAGAGGGAGACACAGAATCTGAAGCAGGCTCCAGGCTCTGAGCTGTCAGCACAGAGTGGAACGCGGGGCTTGAACCCACGAACTGCAAGATCATGGCCTGAGCCGAAGTCAGACACTTAACCGAGTGAGCCACCAAGGCGCCCTTTTTTTTGTTTTGTCTTGAAAGTCAGGGTGTAAGTGAGCGAGGGGTAGAGAGAGAAAGAGAGAGAGGGAGACAGAGAGTCTCACGGGGGGGGGGGGGGGGAAAAAGGGGGGCTCACACATGGCTCCTGTTTTACCAGAAATGGGGCTCCAGCTCACCCAAAGCAGGGCTCGAACTCACAAACTTGCAAGATCATGACCTGAGCGAAAGTCAGGTGCCCACTTAGCAGCACTGTTGTCACAGTGCGAGACTGGAAACAACACAGATGTGGGACAAAGCTGTGAATAATAGCATCATGTAGATGAAGGTGTGTTCCCAGTTAAAACTTTCCAAGGTCTTCTGTTGCTGGAAGGACAGAGGGACATTGATATGCTTTATTTTTTGTTAATTCAAGTATGCATGTAAAATTTTATAGATAAAGAGAAAGAAAATATGTAACTTCCAAACCAGGAGAGGAGAACAATGGAATAAAGAAAACTTAACCAACCCAACAAAGATTAAAAAAAAAAAAAAGTACAAAAAAAGATTAAAAATAATATACTGGGCAATGATAGTGATGGGAAAGTTGATGTAACTGTATTACTCTCAGAGAAAACATACTTCAATGCAAGAAGTATTATTTGGTGCAAGAAACAGGGACACTACATTCTGGTAAAAGGAACAATTTATCTGGAAACTAACAATTCTAAGCTCTAACACATCTAACAATTCATGGTCAGTTACAAAAAGAACTTAATAGCAGATTTTAAAACATATTTCTTTCAGTCACTGACATTCAAAGGCAAAAAAAAAATTGTGAAGATATATAGAATATTTGAGGCACAAAATAAGATTTCCAGAATAAAGATACAGTGTATTGGAATAACAAAATAAAGTTCATCTAATGATCACATGTGGAACCATAGACTTAACAGGAAACAGTCTTTTTGAACATTCATGGAACATTAGGAAAAGAGTGACCAGGACCTAGGTACCAAAGCCAGACATGAGTGTCATTGTCAGAGCAAAACATGGCATGCCTGCCCCCGCCCCCACCCCCACCCCCCGATTTGTTTCAAACTTTTTTCCATGTCTAAGTTGTGACCTTCTCTTTCTCCCTGTTCCCCTGCTCCTAACCTGTGGAATCCTCGTGCTAGGGCTTGGGGACCTCTCCTGCTTGTTCTGAGGGGGGTCTGGCCATGGGTGTCCACGGCAACATCACCATTCAGGGTGTGGGGCTGCAGGGAAGCCTCTAACCACGACCACGCGCTCTGTGCTCTGCTGTCATAGAGCTGATCTTGCCAACGTTAGCCGTAACAAGGCTTTCTTCCAGGGTTCCTCAGCTCTAGCCGTTAACGACTGCAGTCTGTAGAATCTGGTGAAACTTTTAGTCTGTACAGTGCCTGCTTTACTACATGATTTTCTTGCCAGACAATAACTGCTCAGGTAATAATAACTGAATAATCATGTTTTCTAAAAGTATAAATGCCTGAAAGGTTTATTTATTAAACCGAAGCATCTAACCTCTCCAGTTCCACCTGCTGCTTCGCTGGGCTCCTTCTCACCTGGCTGGCTGCTGCGTCCTTCCTCTGCCTGGCCCTCTGGCAGGTGCTGGGGCGCCCCAGGGCCCAGCACGGCCCTCCCCCGTGCTGACCTTCACTCTCACCCCAGGGCCCAGCACGGCCCTCCCCCGTGCTGACGTC